AAGACACCCAATTCTCTTCCCTACGTGAAACTCAGACAACTTATTGAGAAACCTTTCACTTATGCTGCATGAAGAAGCTTGTGATGTGATGAAAAGTACGGAATTTGAGATTTCTCTCTTTCTGCTACATCATGGGAGCTTGCTGCTAGCTCCTCCTAGCTCTAGCTTCTCCCTCTAGTTTGAAAAACTGTTCTTCAGTTGTTAAGGTAGGAGTTTTTCAGAATAAACAGCAGGCTTTATCTCTGCAAGGTAATAAATCCAGAAAAAAAACATACAGACTTGCTGAGCAGCAACTTGCTGGCGTGTGCTCAGTGAAATTATTATTGTCAGAATTCAGAAGAACCAGACTCAGGTTTAGTTCAGCCCTTATCTTGGGCAAGATTTTTCCACCAGAACAACACCCTTACTTCATGCTCTGAATGGCAGAGGGATACTTCACCACTTCAGGCAAACAGTGACACCCACCAAAACGCTCAGCAGAGACAGCACAGGCAGGAGTGTTCTCTCTTTCCTGTGATTCTATGTGACACTGCAAAATAAACTTAAACATTTCTCAAGAAGTTTCTAGCCACACCATTTACACTTAATCTTATCTCACTCCACAGTGAAACTTCATAAACATGTTAGAGTGTGATTTGCTTCAAATAATTAGCATCAAGGGTAGTCAACAAAATGATCCCATGCCTAAGGTTACTTAAATCCCTGAAGCCTTCTTTGACATAAATAACAAAATCACTGAACATAAATCCTGCAGGTAAAGATAAGCACTTGGTTTCATTCCTATCAGGACAAGATGCACACTTGTGCCTACAGCACGTCTGAGAAATCCACAGCAATTATTCATCCCTCCCTGGCCAGTGCCAGAGAAAGCACTCCACTGCTCTCAGAGACACCAGGGACCTGTTTACCCAGGGACAGGAGGAGGGAAGAAGTTCCCTGTCTTGGGGCAGCTCTGCAAAGCTTACGCCCTTGTTTATGATGTGGCAACTGCGGCACATGCCCATACATTAAGGTGTTAAGGATCTTCCCCTTTTTGATGGTATCCACATTCATTTCAGCATCGCACCCCACAACACATTAGGATCAAAGCAGAACACATAAATATATTACAGTTCATTTCAAGCATATATTATACTGAAGAAGCATTTTTATCCCATCCAGATCATAACTTGCAGCAGAGATCTTCTTGATGATGCTACACACTCAATGCCTTTTATTACTTCAGCATTTTCTAATGCTGGAGAATAAACTCCCTTTAAAATAGAAACAATTTTTTTCCTCAATGCTCAAATGTCCCGATACCATCAAATGGCAAATGGAAGAAGAGCTGCTGTGGTTTTGAGCACTGTTAATTGCTTGCAGTGACACAAGCAAGGGCTGAGCTGGGTGTGGGCAAGGGAGTTGCAACAGGCATCGTCCATTCCCTCCACACCACCTCTGAGGTTTGTTTTTAGGAAGTATCCAGAAAGCTGATTACACAGAAACAGCAAAACCAGCCTGAATGAAGGCTGGGGATACTTCCATTTACATGAGTGCCAATTTTCAAAGAGAATTTAATTTACACCTTCTATTTACTTGTTGGAAGCTTGTGTGGCTACCGCAGAACAAGTCACTGTTAGAGGTGTGGCTCAGAAACTTGAAAGACCTAAATTTCAGAAACCCCCAAAACGACAGCTGAAGATAATTATCATTATGATCAGAAGCTACAGTTCATCTGGTTTGTTGTCCAATGCATGCAACAACAACAAAAAAAAAAAAGGTTGCACAATGGAAAATTGTGGCATCTAGTTTGGGGAAGGAGGGATGGAGGAGTGCAAGCAGGTAAGCTGCAGAGAACTATCTTCCCCTGCACCTCCAAAAGACACTGATCCCAGTGTGATCTATGGAGGCCAGAAGAGACACAATTCCTGCTGCACTTCCCTGAGGAAGCCAATTGCAGCAGAACCCTTGAATGCATTCAAGTTTCAGTACGAGAAAGAATAAAATACAAGTAATTCCTGTTATTAGCACATTAATTAAAAACACACTATATATATTTCAGGGTAATTGTAAGCTGACCCATTAGGATTGCTCCCTCTTACCACTGAAATAACTGAATACACAATCAGAAGTAGGACATCACCAATTTCACTGAAAACTGACATCATGATTTCTCACTGAAAGACATTCCATTTGAGCAATAAATTAAGCTTTGCTTTTTGTTGTTGGTTTGGGGTTTTTTTTCCATTGCCATTATGGCTATTCTTCCAGTCATTTTCTCAACAGCCATCAAGTATAAATTTATATACAATAAACCAGAAGTGGAGACTTTCCATAGGGGAGCAGACCTCCCAAACTGTCAGAGAAACTGCCTGGGTGGCTCAACAAAACCATGCCTCAGCACAAGTCCTCATGTATCTTCATATTAAAAGGTGTTGAGATGTACAGTGCAGAAATGGTGATGATTACAATGGACACATCCTCTTTCTCCTGCCTGTACAGACTCATTACAAATATTGACTTCTTGTTCTACAACTAAACCCCATATAATGGAATTTTATTCTGACTGCAAAACGAAACAGAAAATGCTTGTGACCAAAACTGGGTTTGGTATTTACTAGCCACACTGAAAATGTATTCTGCTGTTCTTTATGAAACATTCAGAACAGCATAAAATAAAACTTCAGAGACATGAAACAGTTATTTTCATGAAAGGAAGGTCCTCTAGTGACTCATCCATCCATCCATCCATCCATGACTCAGTTTTCCAACATACAGTATATTGGAACAGTGACCTGTGGTGCCTGTGCAGGATGTTTTCTGCAGCAGGACCTCCCCATTCTGACTCCCCACATGAAGGAAGCCCAGGCTGAGGATCTGCTGCAGAGGAGGAAGCTCTGAAACAATTCCTGTAAATAAAGGCCTCCTTCAGCAATGTGCTAAACCATCAAAGTTAAATACACACTCAGCGACTGCTCACTCCAGGCAACACCAGAGGTGCCAGACACTGTCCTGCAGGTGAAAACCATTGCAATGCATTCATGGAAAGGATGGAAAGGAAAGCACGTGGTGGGAGCTGCAAGGTGATGAGTGAATGAGAAACCTGGGTGAGATCAAGAATCCGGCTCTGTCATTTCAGTCCCCACAAAGTATTTTCTCTCAAGCCCCACCTTCACTGTTTTTTAATTCCTCTCGTTTCCCTCTCTCCTCCTCTGCACCCTTCTCTCACTGCTTTCCTCCAGGGCCACCCAGTTTGTGGTAAAAGCCAGCAGAAATTAACTCATGCTCTGCTGGGGAAGGAGGAGCAGTGTGAGAAGTGTCAGGGAGGGCCCCGAGATGGGCATTTTAGTCACACTCACACACCGATGGTAAATCCTGCAAGGGAGAGACGGAGCTGCGGAGCCAAGGGCAGGCACAGCCTCATCACCACTTGGCTGAGCTCAAGCATCAGATAAATAAAGAAGAATCTATAAATTAAAGAAGAATCTGCAAGGGCCAGGATTCATATGATAAAATGGTCGCTGTGGAAATGGTGAATAACCGTATGACTTCCTGTGTCATGCCATGATTTCAGGGCTTTAGGCTCACCCTCATGGCCTGATCCCTTGCTCCTGTTTGCCTTGTACAGACTCAGATCAACTTTAAAATGAAGGAAAACCAGCCTATTTTGCCAATTTTGAACTGCAGAAAAAATCCAGCGAGGGTGTGTGTACACATGACTGACGGAAATCAAACCTCTGAAGTGCAGATTATTTTAATTATAGTCAGAAAAGCATGTAAGGTGCAAGTTTCAGCCAGATAGTTTCCATTCTGAGCTTTAATTTTGTAGTAATAAAAATACTTGAGTGCCTCTGTCTAGCTGAAAGAATAACATGTTGTCTGGCTTGTTATGTCAGCTGGGACACTAAGCAACAATATACATAAGGAGAAATTATAATATATCTGTACAAAATAAGGCATCACCAGCTCTCACTCGTGCACTCTCTCCACATGCCTTTCACTGTCAGGCAGCCACTGAAGGGACAGGTTTAGTGAACAGTGCTGTTCATTGTTTTTTCTCCCCCCACAGCCTGATCTTCTTTGAAAAAGAACCACGCTTCTAGAGGTTTCTAAGAAGTGCTTGTGAACTTGCAAAACACTCTTGACAAAAGTCTAGCAAGCGATCCTTCAAATTCCAACAGATGCAAACTACATTGCAAATTGGCTTTGCCCTTTCCAAGGTGTTAGACTCGGTTATGGTGAGAGCTCAGGGTATAATGAGTATTAGTGGCTAGATCACAGATTTGTTTCCACAACACATTCATTCTATTATTGACCTAGATTAGTGAAATGATGCAAGGATTAAGGCTTTGAACATCTTCAGTGGAAAGTGCTATTTTAAAATTGGACACGTTTTGGCAGTTTTAATTGCAGTCAAGATCCTCCAACCCTAACATGGTGTTTCTATCCAAAGTGGTTTTTATACATATAAATGCTGCTAAAACCACGCCTTTAAACTCCATATAATGCTAGTTATTTTGTACATATAAATACCTGACATACACCAAACTCTTCATGTAGCTGTTTGCATAGCTGGTTTGTATTCCGCTCTGTTCTTCAATCTATTGTTCAGAGAAACTGGTGTTTCATTTCACAATTAAAAAACTTATTTACTTGAATTGTAGAGACATGAAAGGCAAGCGAAGGAGAGAAAACATCTCTCCCATTTTTAACTCATCTTCGCTAATTTGATAGCGTAATGTGAAAGTACAGAAATCTGAAATCTAGTTCTGAATGTCTTTTTACCTCTCTCTCAAGAGATATTACTCAGGTTTAGTGTGACATTTCAAAATGTCACCATGCCTATCTCAAAACCAGATATTTTAACACAGAATAGATACCTACCTGCTTTAGTTCAGAACCCAATCTATATGTGATAACATTCTAAGAACCTCTTCTAAGAAGTTCCTACTTATTAAGTAAATACTCATCATTCCATGACAAAGATACTTATTTTGCTAGAAATAAAGACAGACTCAAACTTTGTTTTATTTTTTAATAAAGTTTAAATAGTTAAAGTAAGAGGAAAGAGTATGTTTTAAAGCCAAGCTATTTCTTTGTTCCATGCTAGGCCTTAAAGTCGGATTTACTGGCAAATACGGGCCATAAGAAGAGCTGTATACTTAAAATGCTGGTGTAGAATATATTAAAATAGCCAGCAACTCACTCCAGATTACCTTAAAACAAAGGAAACACAATCTCTACAGTTTTTGAAATGTATTGCCTCTTATCCTGATTAATGGAAAAATTATCCCTACAAAAGATTTTTTTTTTCAATATGAAGACTCTACAAAATATTTGCTTTATCCATTGGCAGGACTTTGAAAATCTCCAAAATATTTAGATATGTGTGCCTAAGGAAGTTTATAAATGCCAATCCAACACTGTAACAAAAATTCCAAACAGAACTGGAAATTAGAATAACTTAACCAAATCACCCCACCATAAGAATATTATATTTCAATTCTGCATAAACACAGACCAGCATGGTTTGTTTTGTTTTAAAAGTTCTTCATGTCCTGCAGAATACAGCATAGGTTTGTTTCATTAGTACCTTTACCCTTCCATTTCCTTAATGCTATTTTCCTCATTAACATTTAAAACAGTATCTAATCTGTCTACAGATTTTTTCTGCCCTCAGGGCTCTTCTTAGCCTCAACCCTATCCTCACCCATGGAGATCCTTCCCCTCTTGCTTCAGAAAGAGGTTTTTGTTCATTTGGCTGATTTTAATTTTCTTCTTTTTCAGATACAGGTAAGTATCCTGCCATGAAGGGAGCATGGGAACGAATGGGAACAGCACTGGGAATTACTGGGACATTTACAAGCCAAGACTGTGAGTAGAAGCTTGGACGGCCACTATTTTTGAAAGAAAAATATCATGCTTTCTTTATATTGGATAATATTTGACAGATTGGATAATATGTCTACTATAAACATAGTTTTGTGCCACAAACAGCCACAAACTGCAGACAAAGCAATAGAGCACAGAGTTTGATGAATTTAGTGCAACACACAAAAAAATTGGTAGAGTTCAAGTAGCATCTGCAATGGTAACGAACATTTAGAAACCAAAATGATCCAATAACCTAAAAATACATCTGCTACACTAAGAAAAAATCTGTGCAGTGAGATTAGAAGATTCCAAATTGTGGACCGGTTGCACAGGAACTACAGATGTAAGAAAGTATTAGCTTGGAAAAGCCTCAGCTTTCCAAAATTCAAAATCATTAAAAAGCAATCTGCTCATCATTCTATGATTTAACCGTTTCCTAGTCTATGGGAATAAACAGCAGGATACAATCCTGTTTGCAACATCCATGTAGCTTTAAAAAAAAAAAAACCAAAAAAAAACCTTTTTAAAGTAAATTAAGAAAATATATTGTTAAAGAGAAAAAAAAATAGATGAGCACAAAGAAATGCCATGACGAATCCTGAGACAAATTATCCTACATCATTGCTAGTCTATGAAAACTGGTTTGAATAATAAACACACTGGAGTATTCAGTGACAGCATACAAATCAAGAGTATTTGTAATTATTAAGTTGTGCATGTTTTTAACTGACAAAACATGCTCACGGGCTTACTTTAAAATCTCTCACTGCTTGTTATCAAAGTTAAAAGATCATTTGCATACCAATACATATGCTGTAAACATGAACTTCTCATTAAGGAAAGATGGATTTACAGTAATTTGATCTTTTACAAAAAGCTATTGGTAACCAAATCTCTGAGTGTCTAACTTTCTAGAAAATTAAACCAATGTTTCCACCCTCAAAGCTGAAACATTACCTCTTTAGGAAACAGCCCTGTTTATTTGTTAATCAGAAATACAATCAAGTGGCATATTTCCATTTGCTCTTCGGCTCACAGTTTCAGCTACATTATATTTTACAAGAAAACAGCAGACTTGCAGAAGTCCTGTAAATTCTTTCATATCGCAACCGATTTAATTACAGTGGTGAACAAACGCAGCAGTGATGCAAAATAAGATCAGCCCATTTGCCCTTATCTGATGATAGGATCTCTCTTCCTGTTTGGCTTACAGCAGTGAGGACTTCTTGTTTTGTTTCGGCTTTTTGTTGGTTTCTTTTTTTCTGGTCAGGCTGCCTCTGTCAAGACTAACAGAAGCAAGAAGTTGACATGCCCTTAGAATTCCAGCTTGAGAATGATCCTCATAGGAATATAGCTGAGTTTCAATCAGTAGGTCGGGGAATGATACTAATGTGGAGAAAATTATCTGGATAGCTCATATGTTCGCTTAGCCACTGAATGGGTGTTTCCAGCATTGGCTCAATTCCATGAATCATCACTTGAGTCTTCTGCTCTCCATCTAATTCAAAGAAAAAGAGAAACCACTAGTATACCATTCAAAGTTCACAGGAAGATTAAACATTTACTCATACTTAATTTACGGTAGATTTAATTGGTGTTACAGAGTTTAACATTTAACAGAACGAAAAGTAGGAAATATCAGTTGGAGAAAGCTGAGACTTGTATCATCTAAAACAGAAACTGTGAGTTAAAATTAATTCCAAGACAAAACTGGAATTAAGTAAAACTTAATGAAAGTCCCACTTTTCTTTACTAGTTGCAAGAGGGTTTTTTTTTAACCCTACAGTGATCCCAGCTTGTTGTCAGCCCAGTTAAGGCACATCCATCTCACCCGGCTGTAAGGCATATGAATTTTACACAAATCATTCTTAAAATGTTAAGCTTCCTAAAACATACTGATAAGTTGTATTCTTAATACTGTGATCTCCTGAAAGAGCTGGACTATGTGTAATATAATACATGTATTATTCATTAAGTAATTTTGTTTTGCTAAGAATAATTTACATAAATCACTAGCAATATTTCAGAGTTACTCCGAAAGAAGAGTTGGCACCAGCTTTTTCTCACTTAGTTTCATCTCTTGGAAAAAGCAAAGTTAGCAAATTATTCCCAGTATAATGAGAGTATTTTCTAAGAATATTTCAATTCTTTTTATTTATACTTGTCCCGGAGGATGCAAGTACTTTGATCCTTTGATTCAAATGATGGGAACCAGCTAAAGCAACTGACATAACAGTCATGACATGAACTAAAACAACAAAAAATGAAAATTTATTTCAGAGACAAGGGATGAGAAGAGCATATTAAATATGCTTCAAATAATGGTTAGGGAGAGGAAAAAGTAGGCAGTGACCTTTCACTCATTTTATTCTATACTACGGCATTCTCACATGGACCTACCACAGCGAAATCCTCATTCAGTACTCAAAAGTATTACTGCATTCACTAATTGGCATTTTATGTCCCACTCCACTGTTTTTATTACAGAACAAACTATCATCCTCACCAAGAGCTGCATGAAAGACTGCAGAATCTAGAAGTGTAGGTACCATTACTGGTTCTTGCATTCAGTGGCCCCGGTTGTAGTACAATTACTATTTTATAACAGATAAAATCACATTTGTTTGGTAGCCAAAATGATTTGACAGCTGCCTGGAGAAGTTTGTAGTATAACCAGCTATCTATGCCTACACAGCTGGTAAAAAAAATCATCCCAAACATGTACTTGACTTTATGCTAGTAATAATTCTTCCTGCAAGAGCAGACAGTTATGTTTGCTTAAAGTGAAGCATTATACTTTTGTTACTTGTTACCTACACATGGTATATTCTGTTCAAAGTCTTGATTCTCTAAAGAGCATAATACACACATTGTCACACTAAATTATGCATAAACACTTGCTGGTTTCTGGTTTTATTGCAGACAAGTCTGAAGAACAAAGCACATAATTTAAAAACCAAGTTCTGATATTTCTAGCCAAAACAGGTATTTTTTGGCTGAAACACTACCAGTCAGATTGTCAAAAGAATTAACTCCAAAAGAAAAGATCTCAGAAACCCAGCTGTGGCGGTGCATTCATTCATTTACAACACCAATTTTCCTTCTTCTTAGAAGTTAGGGGACATCTAAATATTTTTAAATAACCTTCAAACATATGTATTTAACATTAAAATTAAAACCTACCTACATCATTCCTTAAATTGGTGTTGGCGACTTTTTCTTAATGTTTCATAGTATTATTTAATTTTCAGAAACAACTAACTTACATAAAACCAGATGAAAAAATGCATCTGACTCTTTTTAGCCAAAATTTGCAGAAAAAAAAAGATTATAAGCTTTAGAACCCCAGTATCATTTTCTTGCCATTGGAGGAAAGGTTTATAAGTGATAAACATTTTCTTTGGCTCTTCCATTACTGAGCAACATATGTATGTGTGTGCATGTGCCTTCTCTTGCACACACACTACTCTCTACTCTTTTCTTGTAAAAATGAAATGCAGGTAATCTTGATGTCTCCGTTCCTTGTCCCTTACCCAGTATTGTCCCTTTCTCATACAAATCTTTTATTCTGTTCCTTGGCAAACTGAGAAAGCCTCAGAGGTCAATGAAGAATTTAAGTTTAATTAAAATCTAAATCTCTGCATTAGCATTGTTTGTACTTTAGTATTATCTCTGACAAAGCATCACTTCTCCTTAATTCCTTTTCCCCTTGAGGCTTGACTGAAGAGATCTTATCTCCCAATTCTGTATTTACTGCAGCCTTCTTTCACAAAATCCATTGTTTTTACTTCAACATTCTTCTCTCCTTTTGTTACTAGGAACCACAAACTCTCACTTAAGGCACATTTACCCAAACTTTCCTCAACTTTCATGTTTTCCATCACATATCCGATTATAAATCAGTCTCTCTCATATACACTCTTCTCTACTTTTTGTAGCAAAAATTGTCAACAGCAAATACACTAAAACAATTACTGAAAAATATTCTTATTTTGTCAACAGCTGTCTAATTATTATCCATTTCCACTGTGATCTGAGTCCTGAATGATTTGCTAGCTATCATGAAAACTTCATCCACCTATTTTAGAGAGACAATAGATTAATATATTTGCCAAACATTTTATTTCCATGATTCTAGATGCATCCTGACCCACCAATCACCGTCCTCTTCTTCCCCAGCTCACATTCTATGATCACAAGAAGCCTTTTTAAACTCACAAAATGCAGCTACAAAGTGTACAAGTTGCTAAACACAACATATCTTTAAATTAGTGGTATAAAATTTAAACTACCTAATTACAAAGTAATGCCATTCTATATCATTGGATAATGCCTCTGAAAATTAGGGCAAATAACTCTGTTCATCTGCAGTGCACAGGGTCCAGACCTGATGATATCATTACTGTCAATACCCATTCTACAATGTTCAGTAATCCAGTGAAAAAACAAACAGAATTTCCTCAAAACCACTAATTCAAATTTTCCAGTAACCTCACCAACTTTTTTTGTCCTCTTAAAATCCTGTCAGAGCTTCAGAACTGAGTTACATGTTACTTATCACATGACCTAAGTGTTGTGGGGTTTTTTTTGTTTTGTTTTGTTTTTTTTTTTTTTTTTTCTTTGCTGCAAATTATTCTTGGGAGTAAGATGAAATGGAAATAGAAGAAAAATAAAAGCATAGCAATCTGTGTTTTATAGGTTTTCATAGTGTTACTTAAAATCAGAGTACTTACTGAAGTGATGCTCAAGTAACAAACACTGTTTTGGCATTTGCAAAAAAAACCCCAAGAAACCTTGAAAACTAATTAAGTCATCTATAAGAGCAGTCATCCCAAGATTAAATTATTTTTTTACTGCTTTCCTTGTGGAGCTGTATCAATAGAGAAGGTACTGTAGCCCTCTCAAGTTACTAGAGGCAAGCTCTAAGCACAGAGGGTAATGCTTTTTGGTAAAACTGAACATTCCATCTCCAGAAGGCAGATAACTGGGCTTACATGTTATGTACTAAAGACATTTTTGAGACATTCAGCTGACTTAACTCTGACCCTAACTCAAGGCTGCAACACTTGAAGTGTTGACCAGACCCAGGCTAATTAATGATATCCTGTAAAGTCAGAAGGGTTTTCCAGCTTTGTACAGAAAATGGAGAAACAAGAAGGGTTGTTAAGTGAAGGGTTTAAGAAGAGATCTGCTTTTCTGTCACCTACAAGGTGGCTCCGTGCTCCTGATGAGCAAACTACTACAAGGAAATCCTGGCAAAGGACCCTTTTGCAGATAGGCATCTGCTGGGAGGAAGCAAGAGAGAGTGGCCTGTTGCATCTCAAGTGAGTCCTTGAGAGAGTGGCTCAAAGCCCTCCTCAACCTGAGGCAGCTTGAGCCCACTCCCTCTTCTTTAAGGGAATGCCCTACATTATTCACCGTTGCTAATCCCAACTTCCTTTAAAACCCCTCAATATCCAGGAATCAGCAAGACACAGCAGAAGAACAAACAAGAAAATCTGTAGACTTCAGAGAAGGTGGGAAGGTGTGCCATGTAATGGTATCACACAGTAAGGTTTTCTCTTTCCTTCAGCTATATAAGTTGATGCTTGCAAACGAATCTACTCAGTAATAGGAAAATTGGCTTATTCAGCATCAATTCAGATCGTTGCACATGAGCACTAATGCATGCATCTAAATAAATTCTTCTACTGAGTTACATTATTATTTGAAAGAAAGAACTAAAGATGGACATAGAAGATTGGTTTAGTTTTGAGACAGATTCAAGTGCCTGAGAGCAGAATAGTGAGAAGGCACTGCCTCTGTCACAGGTTTTACCCAGATTAGCACCTCAATGCTCACCAGTGCTGCAATGACATACTCCCTTTCACCTACACAAGACAGCTTCTCTAGCCAGACTACATCTGTGATGTACCACTTAAAATTCTTCAGTGGGATGAAATACCTCTCTTCTGATTTGTGGCCTCAAGCAATCACCTGTCAGGGCAATTTAGCAGGCTTAAATCCCTTAACCGATGGACAATACAAGATATTCAGCTTTAGCAAAAGTGCCCTTCGAGTACTCAATTAGAATCCTCAGTATGCAAGTTCTCTGCATAGCAAATCCTAGAATCTGCCTGTAGCCAGGGGCAGCAACACTTATAAAATTGGCTTTACAACCCTAAAAAGGCAAATAGAACCCAGTACTCCAAGTTAGGGGCAAACAATGCATTTCTCGTATGGTACAAGGCCACAGGACTATAGACAAGGACACTAAAATGCATAAGGAGTAAACACAACCAAGTTTCATGCAGTAGCAGCATTTTAATCGTGTAACATAACTGGACGCCAGCTTTCCAGCTGTGAAGTGGGCCACAGACATTTGGTTGCTTCTCTTCAGAATATACCATATGCTCTGAAGAAGATGATACTAAAGGTATTCCTGACAATAGGCTATGCCATATTGTAGGAAAACTCATCTTGGAATGGCATTATAAGGAGCAGAATTTCCTTTTTGTG